TTTCCTCCCCAGGAGCAAGCGCCTTTTAATTTCTTGGCTGCAGTCCCCATCTGCGGTGTTCTTGGAGCCAGGAAAATAAAATCTGTCACTATCTCCATTTCTTCCCCATCTATTTGCCAGGAAGTGAGAGGACCAGATGCCATGATCTTAGTTTTCTTGAGGTTGAGTTTCAAGCCAACTTTTGCACTCTCCTCCTTCACCCGCATCAAGAAGCTCTTTAGTTCCTCTTCACTTTCTGCCATTACAGTGGTATCATCTGCATATCTGAGGTTGTTGATATTTCTCCCAGCAATCTTAATTCCAACTGGTGATTCACCTAGGCCCGCCTTTCTCATGACGTGCTCTGCATATAAGTTAAATAGGCAGGGCAACAGTATACAGCCTTGCCAAACTCCTTTCTCAATTTTGAACCAATCAGTGGTTCCGTGTCCAGTTCTTCTGTTGCTTCTTGACCCACATAGAGGTTTCTCAAGAGACAAATAAGATGTTCTGGTACTCCCATCTCTTTCAGAACTTGCCACAATTTGAAGCAGAAGTAGATGTTTTTCTGGAACTCCCTAGCTTTTTCCATGATCCAGCGTACGTTGGCAATTTGATCTCTAGTTCCTCTCCCTCTTCAAACTCCTGCCTGTACTTCTGCTAGTTCTTGGTCCACATACTGCTGGAGTCCAGCTTGTAGGATTTTGAGCATAATTTTGTGCTTTTGCCAATTCCAGGCCTTTGCTCTGCACCAATCCTCTCTCCTCTGAGTCTAGGAAAACATTCAGCAGACTTTGGCATGACAAGTTGGATCATGCATCAAAAAGAGAGACTGGAAAGACTGGGAGGGGGGTGGCGGCCAAAGAGCCTCTGGCAGTGGGGGTTGTTGTGGGGTTCATCCTTGGGCAGCCTCTCAAAGATCTTCCTGCCCCCACATTCCACAGTGAAATGCTGAGATAACTCTCAAGCTGTGCACCATTCGGGACTCCGAGGCAAAGCCAGACACAATCCAGTGTACTCATGTCCAACCATTTACTCATTTTGTTTACAACGTCACAGCTATTTAATTTGACAGTATGCTTAAAACTCCCCCCCCTTGAAGCCCCCCCCCCCCCCCATCAAGCTCATAATAGGGCTGCTGGTTTGCACAAAGGAAAACCCATTTCTCCTTGGTCAGGTATCCCCCCTCCTTCCCCCAAATCATGGAACCCACTGCAGGGGCATTTTCCCTTTTGCCTGATCTGGAGCCCATCTCTCCTCAGGGTGCGACCCACATCTAGCCTGATGGCTGCTCGAGCCTCATGGGAGTCTCTCCTGCAGATCCCACAACCAAACTGAACAGAAGCCCTGATGGGAGAAAAGGTGTCCCCCAGCTCGACAGCCCATCCCCAAACCCCGGCCTCACACTCAAGATGGCGTCGCACTCAGTGGGTCGGCAACCCTCCGTCAGCCAAGGACTTCCCCCTCCTAGGGCAGGAGGCCCCCCGCTGGCCAGGAGCCTGATGCTGGGCACCACAGAACCGCTGGGTGGCAGGCAGGATAAGGCCAAGTAAGAAACCCCGACCAGCAGGAGTGCCTCATGTGAGAATTCAAAGCAAAGTTTTGAAATTCAAAGCCAGCTCCACCGGCCAACGCAGGCGCACACGGCGCCGGAGAGCGCCGCCCGCCGGCCCAGGTGATCGGGCGCGCGCGGTGTGCGACGGGGCGGGTCTTGGAGGCGCCCTGCGGACTCAAAGCCGCGGCAACGGCCGGGGCCGGCGGCCGAAGGGTGGCGACTAAAGGGGTCGCCGCCGTTTGGGGGGACGAGAGGGGGGCTGGGCTGGCCATGGACTCTTGTTGAAATAGGCTTGCCTACTGCTGATTCTTAGGGAAGGGGAAGGATCCCCCTTTTTTTTTTCTTTTCTTTTTATCGTTCTTTTTCTGCTCCTTCGACCTACTTTATAATTTTACCCTGCTTTAATCAGTGCTTTGAGTCATTCCTGGCCATGTCGACGTTTATATATCCTGGGGAACCCACGGGGGCTGCTATTGGCGTGGTCACGGGCATTGGTCGTTACAGCAATAGGGGCTTACCGTGTCCACGTAGAAGAAGGATGGACAGATGGCTGACACCTGTCCCTCCTTCTGGTTCTGCCCCCAGCCAGAGGGCGCCAGGTAGCCTTGTCAACCACCCCTCGGGTCTGACGGTGCTGCTGCTCAATGCCAGGTCGGTCAATAATAAATCTTCCCTCATCCATGACTTGATCGTGGATGAGGGGGCCAACCTGGCTTGCATAATGGAGACCTGGGCGGGAGAGGGAGGGGATGTTGCCCTCTCCCAGTTGTGCCCGCCGGGGTATCTGGTTCAACACTGTTCACGCCCAGAAGGGAGGGGAGGGGGAGTCGCGTTGGTTTACAGAGCCTCCATCTCTCTCACGGGTCTTCCGGTCCCTTTGAGACCAGGGCTGGAGTGCCTCTACCTGGTGCTGGGCGAACGAGACAGATTGGGGATTCTATTGGTGTACCGTGCACCTTTCTGCCCAGCAGTCTCCCTATCTGAGCTGACAGAGTCCATCTCGGACCTGGTGTTGAGGACCCCCAGGATGTTCGTCCTGGGGGACTTCAATCTCCATGCTGAGTCTGGACTGACTGGGGCGGCTCAGGACTTCATGGCCTCTATGACGGCCATGGGCCTGTCTCAACACGTCATTGGCCCGACCCATGAAC